GGTTGCGATGAAGCCGTGGCTTCAGCAACGGCCGCTGACTCCTGAGGTATTTGGGCTGACGAAGTTACGGCCTGAGTTATTGGGTGGTGATGATATGGACGAGGTAGATACTGGGGACGTTGTGGTCATCAGTATCTGGATTACCTTTGTTAGAGTGGCGTTTGGTCTACTTCGCTTAGCCGATACATGACACACTGCTGTTTAGTTAATACTATCTTTTGAAGAATAACGTCCTGAGTAAGTATTGCTGAGACCTCTCGTGTAGGGACTGCTGGTATCTCTAAATAGCACTAATTTAAACACGTTGATATTAGATGGTTGGTAAAGGTAATGAATTCACTAGGGTTAATTACCTTTGAAGTTGGATGGCATGGAAGAAAAGTGAGAGGAAAAAGTTTCTATGTCATAGCAACAAAACTCATTATAGGATACAGTTGCGAAGCCAAACTGCAATCAAAGACATTACAGACAAGATATATTTTGTGAACCTCATGAATTAATGAAATATTGAGCCTTTTCAAAGTACCGAGCGACTTGTTGCAAAATTACTTAACGATGAACCCAGAACTGTGAAGAATAGGAAACAGGAAATAACTGACAATCTCTGGAAGCTATAAACTGAGTGTGATTGGGCTAAGCTTCTTTAAGAAAATTAGAAAAAAATGCGACACGATTTGGCCATGTCCGAACATAAAACGGAAGTGAGGAGGGAAACTCCCTACTGTGGCGTGCACCGTGGACTCACGTGTAATGCATCCACTGTTTTTAGCCCATTACCAGCATTTTTTGTTTTTTTTTACATACAAGCAATCGCCAGTTTTCTCCCAGAAACTCAGAGACGAGCTAAGAAGATATGCTTTGTGATATAACCTCATTGTTACATACTCGCAAGGGTCTAGTGGTAAATGGCATCTTGCCAAATGAATCTGATGGACAAAAGTTGTACTTTGTGCGTTCCTTGCAAAGATGGAAGACAACTATGTTAGGTGTTGGGAAAGGAAGAAAAAATACATGGCGCACTATTTTTTTCCATAATGGCGGAAGTGGATTATAACCATAAAGAAGGAATCCCACATCTCGCAAACAGCGATAACAGCATCTGCGATTGATTATTGATAATCTTAGAAAACTTTCACGGAATAAAATCACTTCAATGACTCGAAAACTTTCAAAAGGTCCCTCTAGCCACTACACTCTTGCGAATACGTAAAATAATGAAATTCCATAACAAAGAACCACCTATCAACTTGATTGTGTGCGATCTCTGAGAAGAACATTGGGATTAAGTAGAGCCAAAAGAGAATGGAAAAGAAAAAGATCATAATAGTGCAGACACCTGGTAAAAAAATCCGTATGCGCTTTGAAGCCATTCCAGCCACAGACACAAAAGAAGAAATTTGGACTTTGGTTTGAGGAAAAAATCCCTCTAGAATATGGTAAACAATAAGGCTAAACAAAGAACTAGTTGCGAAGACATTTTCCTTCTAACTTTACAAATATCCATTGTAAGGATTGATTGTATAAATCACTAATTTGTAAGAGGAGAAGGATGCTTGCGATGCGGACCTTTGTAGATGCAGTGTAGCAAACTAAACTCTAACGGTGTTGAACGTGTCATAACAAGTTCAGTTGTCTAACCCTTCTCGAAAAGGAGATGGCAATGGCAGAGGCAATGAGCCAAAAGAGATCAATAGTGGGTGTCAACTTACCAGGGAAGGTCATTTGTCAACCCGGCCAATTGAAGTGATATGTATATGTTTGTACGCGTCTTGGCACTTTTTGGGCGGCATCGCTCCTCACTATTTTAGGCTTTTGTAGCGCAGGCGCCAGGCATTTTCGCTTCAGACAAGTGTGATATTCGTAATCAGGGAGTCGGACTCTCCCTTTGGGCAAACTTCTAGCCAATTCTGAAATTTTGACCTAACCTCGAAAATTTGGGCACTTACTCACCGATCCACCAATCCATTACAAAAGGCTGGCACTTGGGTAGAATAAACCTTTTAAACACTTTTCATAATAGACAAAAATTGTGTCTGGCTTGCCCGTCTGCATCATCCAAAGATCTGCAAAGGCATTATTTCCTAATACAACCCTTCTCTCCCCTCTCCCCCGTCGTCCATGATTGGTCAACCCAAAAAAGTGAAGTTTGAAGTGTGGTACTTGGCCAAAACTCGTTCATCGAGTAGTTTGATCCTCTGAATACGAATATCGTACCTACCTGCCACGGAAAAGCCTAACAACTGCACTACGGGTACCATGGCACTCACAGAGTGAGTAGGAGTGCTCGAACTTCGGGGGATCTGCTTGCAAACTCTTCTAGACGTAGCGTCAGGCGACCGTTGATAAAATAACTGATTCAAACAGGCTTTTTAGCTATCCTTTTTCATGACCCGCTAACTTGGTGTGTCAGTTTGTGTATGTCGGTGTGTATGTGTATATGTATGTGTGTGTGTCCGTCCGCAAAATGAAGAGTGAGAAGGAAGCTCATGGGATAAACAAACCGCTAACAAATCGGGTAGCTTACAGGATTTGAGATATCAATGTTTTGTAGCAGGATAGTTGTGATAACACTCCTAGGGCTATATAAACACCTGCTGAGCACACTTTCGGTCATCCTATTAGGTCGTGAAGAAAGTTCTTGCGCTTTTCGGTGTTTCGTTTTTGAACGCTTTATTTTGTTACGAATTCAAGCAAGCTGCCAATGAGCTGTATGTGGTTTTGAAGAGCTTTTCTTGTTCTATCTAACAGCTAGGCTAGCTATGTTCCTTATTATTTAGTTGTCATTTTTTGAAGCCTTGAATACGGCATACTCCAAGAGCAAATTTGCATGATTTCCTTTTTCTAGCTCAAAGCAGGCCAGTATGGAGAGGAAGCAGGTCAAGATTATAGACGCACTTGGCTGAGATTCGCAATAAATATGGTCTGAAGCAATTGTTCAAAAAGCTTTTGTAAGAATAGCGAGAGCCCTAAAGATTGTGAGGGTGGTGATCGGAGAATGGACAACACCAACTGTTAGTTGTTCTTTGTTAGTTACGGGAAGAGCTGGAAAGTCCCAAAAATTCAAATAGGGCGTGCCGCGACAACTCACCATTTTGAAGGGTCGTTCGCCGCGTTCTAGCTTGTTTCATGCCATGAAAACGACCTGACTTTTTGATCATTTGCGACACGACAAAGAAC